GGAGAAAAAGAAACCCTCGTGCACTGCTGGTGGGAATGCAGACTGGTGCAGCCACTGTGGAAAACAGTATGGAATTTCCTCAAAAAACTAAAAATGAAACTCCCATTTGACCCAGTGATCCCACTTCTAGGAATATATCCCAAGAAATCAAAATTCCAATCAGAAAGGATATATGCACCCCTATGTTCATAGCAGCACAATTTACCATAGCTGAGATTTGGAAACAGCCTAAGTGTCCATCAGCAGATAAGTGGATTAAGAAACGGTGGTACATCTACATAATGGAATACTACACTGCTGTAAAAAAGAAGTAACTCTTACCATTTGAACAGCATGGATGGACCTGGAGAGCATTATGCTAAGTGAAATAAGCCAATCAGAAGAAGATAAATATCACATGACCTTACTCATTTATGGAATATAATGAACAACATAAACTGATGAACAAAAATAGAGCCAGAGTCAGAGAAGCATTGAACAGACCGTCAGCCCTCAGAGGAGAGGCAGGGGAGGGTGTGTGTGTGTGGGAGGGTAAGAGATCAACCAAAGGACTGCATGCATATGAGCATAACCAATGGACACAGACAGTAGGGGGGTGAGGGCATGTGCTGGGGTGTGAGGGGGGGGGGGAATGGAGACATATGTAATACTTTAAACAATAAAGAATTTAAATTAAAAAAATTAATAAACCAGAGTAATCTTTAGGTAATCTACTCAGGCCACAGTCTTCAAACTGTGTTACAGATGACTGAATTGCATTTTTCACAGGAGGATTCACTGACTTCTAATAATAATTTGCTATACAAGGAATTTCTCCTCCTTTAAAGAATTGATGATGTTGTCCTTGTCAGCAAGCCGAGTCTATCACAAAGGTAAAGTTTATGTTAATGTCATGTTTGTACAGTAAAATCAAGGTCTTTTCTGACCTCCTCCGCACTTTATCACTTGCTCCTCTGTATTGTAATCTCTGTGCCTTGTTTACTCACCTTTCACTGCCAGTGGACTGTTACATCCCAGACAGCAGGGGTCAGGTCTTCCGTTGATTGTATACCACTCAGCACAGTGCCCAGGCCCAAAAGCAAAATACCTTTCCCTCCAACCTCTCCCTCCCCCTCCCCTATTTCTCACTGTCACTCATTTTTGCCAGACTGAAATAGCTGGTGACTTTAAAAACAACTAATTTATGGGAATTAAAGCCCACGATCTAATACGATGAGTATTGCTGCTGCCCAAATCCAACCCCATTGTTTCACATGATACCACTTTAAAAATATATATATATATATATTTTATTGATTTCAGAGAGAAAGGGAGAGGGAGAGAGATAGAAACATCAATGATGAGAGAGAATCACTGATTGGCTGCCTCCTGCAGGCCCCCAACTGGGAATCAAGCCCGCAACCCGGGCATGTGCCCTTGACCGGAATCGAACCTGGGACCCTACAATCCGCAGTCTGACACTCTATCCACTGAGCCAAACCAGCTAGGGCTGATACCACTTTCTTAAAGTTACTTTCTGTTCTCTGACCAAGCACCCTCCCTTCAGTTTATACTTTTCTATTTTATTCTAGTTCTGTTTTATGTTGCTTTTAAAAATGTCTCTTTCCCCCTAGAGACCTAGGAGCCATTCCCTCTCCCCTCTTTACAAAGCCTTAATGAGCTTTGCCTATAACAGAAATTTCAAAATCCACTCTGAGAAATAAGAACCAAGTAGAGGAAAAATAAAAACTCTTCAAAACACACACTACCTTCCACTGCTCTTTTGAAGAAGACTTTGCAGCTCCCACAGGTCAAGACCCCATAGTGACATCCTGACGCTTCGTCAGAGCACACAAGGCAGAGTTTGGGAGGTGGTCCCGATGCTGCTGAGCTGGATGCAGGAGGAGAGCTGACATCCGGTCTCATGCCAGGGCTAAAGAAGAAAGAAAGCAGCGTTAGGATTTAGCTGTCACAGCTGTAAAAAAAACCCCCACACATCAAAACACAGTCTTCTTAGCTTCTCCCTCCCCAGCGAGCATGTTCATACTGAACTGTGGCTTCACATACTAGCAAACATCACAATGTCTCACCTACTTAAACATATTCAAATAATTATTTTGTTCTTCAATACAAAATTATGAGTGAGGTCATTTCTTTTTAAGTATTCCTTAAATAGTTGTGCTTCACTTAGACATTACAATGTTACTTGCTTAGGATTTGTTTATATTTATAATCATCTTTATTAAGGTGTAATTTACATACAATAATTCTCACCGTTTATAAGTATACATACAGTTGATGAGTCTTGTTAAATAGTTGTATAGCTAACACCACGATTGAGAGATAGTATATGTCTATCACTCCCCCAAAGATTCCTCCTACCCCTTTAATTGCTTAGGGTATCAAATTTTTTCTAATTTTATTATCTTGGACAGGCATCTCTATTCATTCAATCATGTCTCATTATAATTCTACTCATGTCCTCCACTTGAGTCAAAATTTTTTATAAAACTTCTTACAGTTTCTTAGGACTTAGAAACATTCCTTTCCATAACTTGCTTGTCTGGATTGCAGTGCACGACAGGAAAAAGCATGAAGCTTTCAACACTAAGGACCATTCTGCCTGCCCTCACCCTTCACCAAAGAGATGCCCTGGAGAAGAAGGTGGAAATGGGAATCTGCTTCTCGTACTGGGTCTCAATTTTCATCTTGCAGACTTTTCACCACAATGAGCACAGGTTTAGTGTTTAAAGGCAGACATTCTTTTCCTATGAAAGAACTGTACAATGGATATATACTTTTTACCTGTACTCACCATTCTTAACACTCTGCCAAATTTGCTTATAAAGATATATACATATATATATTTATAAACCAACAAAACAGCGATCCTTTTAATGATGAAGAAAAAATTAACTATGAAATACTTCAGAATAGATCACACAATGCTTTCCAATGTTTCATCTTCCTAAGGAATTTTCATCATACATGCTAATTTTAGAACCAAAGTTACTGTATTATATTGCACTGTATAACTCAAAAGAGTTTCTAAGCATGTAACTTTCTGTAACTAAAAAGTCTCTAAAAAGAGTTTCTGGAGACTTCCCATTCCTTCTCTAGTTATGTGTTTTTCAAAACTGTGAATGGTAGCAATCTGTTGATTTTGGAACTACACATATTAAAGTGGATTATTTATCAACTATATAAGAAAGTTCATAAGTATATCATTACTTCTTTCTAAAATTTTCTTAATTTGCTTATTCTTTTAGCTGTCCCATTGCCGTCCTTTATAACTATAGCCGATAATAGTACAGCAGGTCCTCAAACAATATTGTTCCATTCAACGTTGTTTTGTTATACATTATTTTGCTTAACGTCGCAGAAATTACGGATGACACTAAGTGAGGACTCAGTGTATTAAATCTCAATTACAAATATGCTCAAACTCACAAACTAAATAAATTGTTTTGCTTATCAACATAGTTAGAAATTATGTTTATGAAATAACATCTTTGTTCTGTTTTAGGAATAAAAATTAAAAGATAATTATAGAACGACAATTGTTTTATAAACGTCACTTTAAGTAACTGGGTCTCTAAACCCAAAGCTCCCCCAGAATTCTGTCCTCACATAAAGCTCACTGCACCTTGCCAACCCTTGTTTGTCTAAGAGGCTTGGTCAACAGGACAGCGTTCCCATCACCCCAATTCTGGGAATACGCCCCGGTGTTTCACATGTTCTCTGACTACTGTGAATAATTTCTGGATGCTTCCCTATCACAAGGCATTGATTCTCTGCTAGCGCTGGGAGTGGACTGAGTGCATATTGAAAGCCTACAATGAAAGAAAATAACCTGAAAGGACTCTGCTGTAGGTCTGGCAGGAGCCACCCTTGATTAATAGAAACTCGTGACTAATGCAGAGGAGCTGCTCTGAGCCGAGTTTCACAGAGAAGCTGGAAGGCCTGGGAGTGAGTGACCGGAGCAGTGTGTCAGGGAAGCAAAAACGTCCTTGGCTTCTGCTCTGGGATGCCCCTATTCCTGCCCAGCCAATCTGTCATCTGACATCTATTTTTAGGAACCAACCAGTTGTTTGTGTATTTAGTTTATGGAAAATAAGTGCAATATTTAAATATTTGAAATTTAGTTCTCATATGTAATACTTACATATATGTGTTTAAAATATTTTTAAGTATTTGTAGTACTTTATAGTTTTAAAACACTTCCATGAATAGAATCTCACCTCTCCTCTCAACAGCCTGGTGAAAAGGATGCCACAGCCTCTGACGAGGTCATGCTGAAGCAGGAGGTTGATGAGGGAGCCTTCTGTGATTACACGGACAGGTCTCAATCCCAGCTCCCCCACTTAAAAGGGCTGAGCCTGTTTCCTCATGAGCGAACTGGGAAGGACAGTGTGTGTGTGTGTGTGTGTGTGTGTGGTGAAAAGAGAATATGTAGAAAGTCAAGCATTCTTTTCTCTTTCAGCAACACTGGAGACTTTATAAAAAGCATTATATAAGTATTATATAACTGGAAAGTAGTTTTAAGTCTAAAATGTAGCACAGCATTCCCAAATTCTCACTTATAAATTAGAGCATCTGCAAGAGCGTTCAGGCCACTGCACTGTGAGCTACAGATGACAAAAGGGAAAGTTAAAACTAAACGAACAAATGGGTTGGTAGAACTGCAGCTAAAAATCTGGAACTTAAGTCAGGCTCTTGGCATCCCTTCAGGCGGTCATTCTGGGCAACATCAGATAGGAACTGAGTATGCAGAAAACTGCCAAGTATACCACAGACATCAGTGGAAAAGAATCAGTTTTTCTCACACAAATATGAGGACTATGATGGCCTATAAAGAACACCATTGGGAGAATGGATGACTTTAAAATGGTATTAAATTGCAAATGTGACCCTGTGATATTGCTAAAAGGGCTAGGGTACAACAAAATAGTTAGAACTCAAAGGAAAACCATATGGAATCGCCATTTTTAAATGATCCATGGCAGAGAGAGATAAAAAGCACCCCAGGATACGAGTGCATATTTCACTCTCTTTGCATGAAAAAGCTAGAATGTCCTGGTCTTTGCTCAATGTGTGTTTACAGTGATGCCAAACATTCTGAAGATGCTGAGGTTCTGTTAGTAACTGACTACGTCCAGGGTCCTTTCTTTTAAGTGAAGAATCATGTGAACAAAATGCTTTATTTCAGGTGAACACTTGAAGGCAGTTTCCCATTCAGAATGGACACTACATTATTCCTGAGGCTACTTATGTTACGAGAGGAAAAAACATGTATAAAACTGTGTTTTTCCATTTAATTCTCTTGCAAGAAAAGCAACCGATGGAAGGAGGATCACTGATGGATAGTCATGAATGGATTATAAAAATTAATCATACACCTTGAGAAGCATGTAAAATGTTCAGGCAAATTACACCCTTTCATTAAGCACGTACTTCCTGGCACCTGAATGCCAGGCCCTGTGAGGATACAGCGGTCATATCTTATAAGGAAGCCATGTCATACATGAAATGCAATCCCGAAATGGTAACAAAATCTTGAAACAGATCTAGGTAGGAGTAGCAGAATATCTTTTAACTGCCTCTTGTGTCATATACTGCTAGGAAGATAATCAGCTACATGTACAGACAAATCTGGTTTCAAATCCTAGCTCCTGCGCAACAGTGGCTGGCTGACAACTCCTGAGTCTGTTTCCTTATTACTACCATTTTAGGAATTTTTGTGTGGATGATATATCCACACTCATATAAAATATTGGACATACACTTGATGATCATCAAACAATCCTCTCTTCAACAGCCCCCTTCCCCATTAACTTCTTTTTTCTCTCTCCCCCAATCCCTCCTTCCCTTCTGGAGCACCTTAGGTTAATGGTCCCTTTAAAAGTTTAAGTTCAGATAATGGTAGATATATAGTTTTTATAATCTACCAAAATTCGACAATGTCGTTTTGTAAAGGTTAGTGTTTCGATCTGGAATCTGAAACCGTATCAGCGAACTTCTTGGAAGTCTGTTACATTAAAATCCATTGGTTTGTCTTGCACTTTGAAAGGATCTTTCACCCATGCCTGATTCTGTCCTGTCACGCATTAGTCATTTGGAAAACATTGGTTCCCTGAGTTATGCAGACCTTCCAAGTGTTGACACAGTTCATTACGCAATATAAAGGAGTCACATTTGTTAAACTCACAGTGGCAGTTGTGTCTTCCAAAGTTCTAAATTTTGTTTAGAAGTTCTAATTTTTATCAACTGGTAACAAATACTGTCAGTTGTCTTCCTTGAAGTGATAAGCTCACTTCAGTCATTTTTGAGAAAACATGCCAAGTAACAGAGGCTGAAAATTGTAGCTGGTCCATGGTATACCATGAACAAGTGGCTTGTTCAGCTCACAACTTCATCTTACGCATGCTTTCCTCGGAGACAGCCTTCGGATGCTACACGCAGCACAGAGCGCTCTGCGCCTGCCCATTTTGTCACACAGAAGGACATTTAAAAGACACCTTCTCAAGGGTAGAGAGTTAATGGAATTAGTATTTGCTTCCTCAAGGATATTCTTAATAGAAACTGGCTTTCTTTTAAAAACAAACAAACATGCCCTACTGGTTTGGCTCAGTGGATAGAGCGTCGGCCTGCGGACTGAAGGGTCCCGGGTTCGATTCCAGTCAAGGGCATGTACCTTGGTTGCAGGCACATCCCCAGTGGGAGGTGTGTAGGAGGCAGCTGATCGATGTTTCTCTCTCATCGATGTTTCTAGCTCTCTATCCCTCTCTATAAAAAATCAATAAAATATATTTTTAAAAGAAAAAAAAATAAAAACAAACAAACACGAATGCATGGCAGTGAATACAGTGACTACTGTACCCTAAGATGCCAGTAGTTTTATTAATCATTACTGTTGTACTATTCTTGCAAACA